TTTATATTAAACACGACGTTTTTGTTTTCTTTAGTAACTTTTTTTTTTGTTTTTTTTTTTTTTACATTTTACACTTTGTTTTGTTGCAGTGATTGATTTGTCTGCTGTTATTAAATTACAAACATCTTTAAAAGAAACATTAACTAATAAAGATATAGCAATATATTATTAACTATGTCTTCTCTTATGGCAATATAACGAGTGATTGGAAAGGTTTTAGACAAGATGTTTGTTTACTTTAGAATTGCTAGAAAGGATTTCTGACAAGTTAAAAACTATGAGTTAGAATGCTCTTTTCGAATATGAGCTTAGAAATTTTGTTTCAATTTTTGTTTGAGTATAGTAAACTAATCTTTGAAAAACCTAAAAGATTAGTTTGGACGGAACTTCTGGACTGATGCTCATGGTAATTATATTTGTTCATTTTGACTCGTTTAAAAGCATTTCAGTATAAATCACAACGAGAATTTGAATATGAGCTTGAAAATGTTGTGTCTATTCGTGTTTAAGAGTAGGAAGGGACTTTTTGAAAGATCTAAAAAATAATTTTTAATGGTAAGCCAACATAATTTTGTTTGCCCTATAAGTAGAATCCGTCGGATTCTTCCAGAATCTGGATCTGAAAATTTTCTGTCAACTGGATCCGAAAACTTTGGATCCGATTGAGCTCTATTCTATGCATTTCTCAGACGAGTCGTCTAAGAAATGTGTAGGGTGTACTACTTAGGGCATACCAAAAGTAGTGGCGCCCGCATCTCAATTTCTTATAGAAGGCTTGAGTAAATTTTCTTTTTTTATGAGGTGATAGAGAAAACGAAGCTCTATTTTTCTGTACTATTTCATCTCTATTTAACTGGTATTATAATAATAGAATTTCGATAAGAACTGTTTTTGCGTAAAACTTCACTAATCCATTAGTACGCTTTCTATTCCAATTTCTAATTATTTAATACGTTATACTTAAAAACAAAAGATACCAAAAGATGCAGCATGAAAAGCTCTACAATTTATAAAGAACAGTTTATTTTGTATTTGAAATAAGTAAAAAGAAATTTCTCTTTGGATGATTTTTTTCGGGCAACGAAGATTGGTTACACAGAATTTTGTTTTCTTTTGACAAGGCGACATAATTAAAACAAACTTTATTATGTAAATTGTAGAGCTTTTCACGCCGCATCTTGTGATATATTTTGTTTTTTTTAAACAAAGGATATCAAATGACAAAAAGGTGAAATAAGAACAAATGAACTCATCTTACATCAAAAACTATAGTTTTCGCACATTCGAAACTTGATCACTCAAAATTTCGTTCATTTTGAAAACAAAAAGTACAACTATAAAAAAAAGTCATCCTATGTAAATTGTAGATCTTTTCACGCTGCATCATTTGGTATATTTTGTTTTTTAATACAACGTATTAAGCGATTCAAATATTTAATCTGCCTCACGCGTCAGTGAAATTTTACGCAAAAACAGTTTTTATCGAAATTCTATTATTATAATACCAGTTAAATAGAGATGAAATAACACAGAAAAATAGAGCTTCGTTTTCTCTATCACCTCATAAAAAAAGAAAATTTACTCAAGCCTTCTATAAGAAATTGAGATGCGGGCGCCACTACTTTTGGTATGCCCTAAGTAGTAACGGAATAAAAAAAAACGCAGAAAAGTATCGCGTATGTTCGGGACAGCTATGCTGTTCCGGTTAGAACGTTTCAATGAAAGTATCAAAGTACCGTTCGATCGAGTCCGGATCCTAAAATGCAGGACTCCAATGGGCTCTACATATGATTCTCTATTCGAACATGCTAAAAATTGCCGGAGTCGACTAGACATCGGCGTGACTAATATTTTTTGGTCACGGTCATGGTCACAGTCACGATCGTGATCATTGCAGCCATGATCATGACTGTGACCATGAGTCACGAAAATTCTAACGACTGTAATCATACAGTATTTTTCGATCGCCTATGTGCATATAAATTACGTAGACACAGCGTTTATTGAATAGTGTTTCTATTGGCAGTGATAACCAGATAATGATTGTTGGGTGTGATAAGAAAAGAAAGAAAATATGGGATTAGAACAATAATATCCTTTTCTCATTATAGAGTGTAATGAAAATTTACTTTACATAGCAAGAAAATTTCTGAAGAGAATTCGTTACAATTAATTTGCAGTAATGATTCTTCTAGAAATTTTTAAAAAATTGAAAGAGAAGAATAATATATATATCAGGTTCGGGTTCACTTCAGTACCATTAGTTTGCATAAAAATAACCAACATTCTGTTATTTTTCATTCATACAAATCATTTAACTGCTACCAAGCACTTAATAGTATACCCTCATAGGAAATAAGGAAGCACCGAACGCGAAAGTTCGAGTAAAGGTTCGCTCTCGAATACTGTCAGTTTCAGAGAATTGACAAAGCTATGAAGCAGAAACAAAGTAAAAGAAAGACTTTTTTAAGTTTAAGTCTATGATGAAGTTAAAACAAATAGTCGTAAGATGTTCAGATTAAAAAATTATCGTGACTAGTTGTGAACAAGGTCTAGTCACAGTCACGAGCACAAAATTTGTTTTAAAGTTAGTCACAGTTATAGTCGTGACCGTGATAATCATGAGTCACGGTGATGTCTAGAGTTGACATTTCTCTACAAAATGTGATAGTGAAGTAAGTTGTAGCTCCTACTTAAGTAAGGCTACAAGCATGTTTTCATGTACTCATTTCCACGTAAAACAATTGTCGATTTGTCAAGCAAAAAAAAAAAACTTAGTGTATTTTTTTAGGACAAATTCTGGTCTATAAATTGATATATAAATGAAAATCTCAATTTTTAGTTTCGAATCGAAATAATGAAACTATAAAAATTTTTTCGTCGAAACTAATTTTTTAGGTTTTTCAAAGATTATTTTACTGTATTCAAACAAAAATTGAAACAAAATTTCTAAGTCCATATTCGAAAAGAGTATTCTAACTCATAGCTTTTGACTCGTTGGAAATACTTTTTAGCGATTCCGAAGTAAACAAACATCTTGTTTAAAAACTTTCCAACTGTTTGTTATATATAGACGAATAAAAACATTTGTTTATGTAAGTCAAATGACTTTTTAATTTAAGTCTTTAAGAAGTATGAAGTATTATAAATAGATTATGATTAACCTCTTTCGAACTACAACGACGTGGTTTTGACATTGCCATAAGATTATGATGGACATGATGACAAAACTGTTCTTATTCTATAAGAGCGAATAAATTATTCTATCAATGAATAAAGGTTATAACATCAAGTTTTATTGTTTTCTCTTTTATAGGTATTTTTTTCTTTTAATTCTAAGTTTCTATTGAAACGTATCTAATATAACTGATTATTTATATTCTGATATTTATTTTGTTTATTCTGGTATAGAACGAATGCTTTTCTTAAGCTGGATAAATACATATCATAATAATCTCATGGATTATTTCAAAGAATGTCGGTCAACATATTTTGCTAACGGAAAGTAATAATCTTCTAAGTTATTAATATTACACAAATATGAAGAGAAAAAGAACGACTTAAGGCAAAAATGTAGGAATATCAGAAATCAAAGAAGTTCTTTTTTTGTTTCTTTTTTTTCTTATAAAATACTAACTATCATACCAAATGAAAGAGAATAGAAAATAATAAATGGCTACTTATTGAAAAAAAGACATAAGAGACAGAAAGAAAAATAATAGAAGATTATCTAGCAGAACTCAAGGGAGACTTATGTAGTTGACTTATTTGTCAGTCGAAAATTCTTTGATGTTGATTGTTACGGTTATCGAAACACTAAGTAATTACTTATGCGCACTTGTCTTTATCACTGTCAATGTTATTGTTTGTCTGACGAGTCAATTACAATTTGGTTTGTTGATCAGATCTATCGCGCATTTCATACACAAGTAATCGACTACCACTCGAGTTATCATCTTTCTTCTTCTTCTTCTTCTTCTTCTTCTTCATCATTACACAAAAAATTCATTATTTTTGTTTCTTCAAATTTATATCGCGTGATTAAACACGTTTGTTTCTTTGTAAAAAGAAACAAGCAATATTAAATCTTTGTTTTTTTGTTATTATCAATTGTCGTCATTATTAAATAAAGTAAGTTAATCTTTACAAACAAATTTATAACAGATGTGTCATTTTTCTACTCAAATTAACGTATTATGTATTATATTACAGGAAAAATAATATTATAATCACCATAAAAGAGCAATCAAAGAAAAAGAAATCAATAATCTTTATTGTTATGATATACACGTGCTCATGTAATTGACTAATAGAGAGACAATGTTTTTTGCACCTGGAACCTTTCGAAGAGCATTTATTTATTTTTCTCGTTAAAATTAGAATTTCACTACCTATTTCAGTGATTTGTCAATAACTATTTGTAGTCAGATTAGTACGTCTGAACTTCTGAAATATATATATAGAATTGTTGTTTCTCTGGTTTTTTCATACAAATATAAACATATATCTATCAACAAGCTTTCATCTTACCGTTGACATTAGCCACCACTCAGTATATCTTGTTTCCTTTTTATTAATTGTCTAATAACGTAAATGACGGGATCAGAAAGACCTTATTAAAAGGCTATATGTTCTTTATATGCAAATAATATTCATAGAAAAAAAAAAGCAAAAACAAATATAGTTAGTTGTGTGTCTTTTAGTATAAAGTATCTATAAGCATAACCAATTGGAAAAGAACAATCAAACATCATCAGTTGAGTCGTCATCAGCACGTGCGATATCATTCTCAGTTGGAGACACGAATAGCTAAATATGATGAAGAACATACCAATGTTTAGAGATAAAAATGATGTGTCTACATAACTATCGTCAGAAGTGTTTTCTATTATTCTTTTAGAAAGCGAAGACGAGGAGGAGCGAAATGATAAAGTTGATGATAGAAAAGACTCTTTATTATTATGTAAGTTTATAACTTATTCTTCTTCTATAGTATGATAATGATAACACCAAATGAGTTTCTTCAATTTGCTAATGAAATGGGTCTTGGAAGAATAAAATCTACATCACCATCACCATCACCATTAATATCACATAATAATAATAATAATTGTACAACAACAGGTTTATCTGTACTTAATAATTTATGTCATCTTATTGAAGAAATTCATCAATTAAAAACTGAAAATAATCGTTTACGTGCACATCTTGAATTAGTTAATCATGTTGAATTATTTCAACAACGTTTTGTAGTAAATGATACTAATGAAAATAAACAAGAAAAAAATGAATCAATTATCTCTTCACCATCTATTCATGATGAAGAAAAATTCGAAGCATTATCACCAACAAGTTCATTAAAATCTAAATCTTCGCCATCAATTCGAGAACGAAAAGGTAATGTTCTTTTGTTTTGTTTATTTTTTTTAAATTTTTGTCATAATATATGAAAACTTTCACATGATCGAAAAAAAAACAAACTAAATTTAAAAACAAAAAAAAAAAGAAGATTAATCATAACTGCTCATTTAATCTTGACATTTGTCAATTGTGACATATCAAGTGTTTAAGAATGTTTATTATATAATTTATTATGTGCAAATTACCACAAAGATAACATAATAAAATCTTGAGTTCTTTTTCAAAAGATGTACTGTTAAATATTCTACAGTAAATGTATGAAAAGATTCTTTTGAACTCTTCTAATGAGTTTTGATCAAACCAAAAAAAAAAAGCAACAATATATGAAAGATTGATATTTCTCATTATAATGGAAGTAAAGACAGAAGATGTTTGCTATAAAAAAAAATATATATATTTTGCATTTATCTCTACATATGCAAATTTTGTATTGTAAAGTTCTTAAGAATAAGCTAAACGATTTTCTTGACTTATGCTAATAGATTTCAAGATAGTTCAAAAAGGAAAGATGTATGACATGCTTTGTTTTCTCATAATGTAGAATATGATTCCTTAAGTCTATCTTGATTTTGATATTGAAATTCTCTTTTCTAAGGCGTTTACACCCAAGAGTGTAACTTTTGGAGAACATGTGGAGCGCAACACTTCCTGTTGCTTTTGAAAATTGTTTCACACAGCATTCCTTTTTCTGGCACTCAGCTATTCTGTACTTTCTGTCTTCAGTGTTGAGTTACGCTTCTGTTTATACTACTGTCAATGTCAACATTTCATGTAGATTTCGAGGGTGAACATCTATTTTTTAGAATACAGATACATAGTCCCTGCTACAATAGTCACAATCTTCAAAAGAACGGACCTCATACGACTTTCCTTTGAGCTCTCTTAAAATCGATTAGTATAAATTGAGAAAGTCTTTTACTTTAACTATCCTGAAGGACTTAAGTTTTTATGATTTGTCTATGTAGAGATCAATGTAGAATACATAATACAAAAAAACATCTTTTTCTTTACGTCCAATATTATGAGAAACACCAATCTTTCATAAATAGTTTTGTTTTTGGTGTCGTAAAAATTCATTAGAACAATTCAAAAGAATCTTTTGATAAACTCTTGATAGAGAATTCAACAGTACGTCTTGTGTCAAAAGGATTCAAGATTTTATTATTTATATGTACAAAGATGTATACATAATAAATAATATTACAAATATTCTCGAATTTCTCATGTTTTTTAATAGGTATACACTTTTTTAATAATCAAGAAGATTCTTCATTAATATCACATATTAATCATGATCGATCGGAACAGACCGATTCTAATATTGGTAAATTCACTAAAATGTTTATTGGATTAATAAAGTTTTTCTGTAAAACTTTTCTTAAGGTTTATCATCTATATCAAATAGACAAAATTGGAGTAAAGTTCGACATGTTTTTAAATTTTCTCTTCTACGAAAATACGGTTCACCTTCAAGTTCTCTTATAACAAATGTTGAAAGAAATATACCAGCAATAAATATATCTCTAGAAAGTGAGGAGGATCATTTACAAGAACATAAACATTCATTGAAGAAGAAGAAAACTGTAACAACAACGAATGATAATCGACAAATGATTATGGGTGATGAAACTGATCAAGAAGATGAATCAACTCAATTTAATAGATCATATCATACGAGAAGACCTAATGAAACTGACAGACTCAATTCATCAAGTCTTGAACGTCAGGAAATACTATCAACAAGTTCACCTTGTAATGCTACAAATATTGATGATGAAGCTTTATTAACACGTAAACCATCAAAAATCGGTAATTATTTTGACTGAATGACTTGAAAGAAAAAAAGCAGGAAATGAATTTTAGAAGAATCTTACGTATTAAAAAGAAAAGCAAATTAGACTTCCATTTCTATTAATAGCAGTATCACCTTTTCATACGATGTTAGTTGTCTCCGGTGAATTTGATATTACTTTATATTCTATTGAATTTTTCACTAAGTTTAAGATCAATATATAACTTTTTTTATATTGAAAGAGAAATGATGTTAATTTTTTTTTGTCTAAAATAATAAATAATTTAATATAATTGTCCAGAGAAGATCTCTCAGAATTGTCTTCTGTTGACTGTAGGATATATTGTAAGTTCAGTGTGATATTATTTAAAATACTTTGATCTCTATATTATTTTCTCTTTTAATTTTATAATAGATGAAGAAGAAACATCCTTGCTGTTCGACTACCATGCAGTAGATTAGTAGCCTGAAATCTTCTCCTACAACTAATACAAGCTGTAATTCTAGGCAGAAGGCCAGCCTGACATAGAGTTCTTGAACTCTTCATACATATTAACTATCCACAAGAGCAAGTGTATGTCACAATGTAGTCAGCATGTCATCGGACGACTGATAGGAGACAAACAGCCGTCAGTAACTTGTCTAAGGTTATTCTATGTCAGAGGGTATCGAGGATTTCGTACAGTACTGTGTGGATACATATCAATCAACGTAGCCACTCAACAATGGCAAATTTATGATAGATATTTATCTTATTTATCTGTAAATCTTTGAAGTCAAACTAAATTAAAAGTAATATACAATTATATATTCAATCTTCTTTAAAATCATTTTATCTGTTGTTTTTCTTGAGGAAAAGAAAATATAATACTTGGATATACTTTCAAATGTTTTATTTGTCTAGATATTTTAATATTACTAAATTTTTCCAAAAGTCATAGTTACATAAAAAATGTTTGAATTATTTATATTAACAATAAAGAAAATATTGAAATAATTAGAAGATCAACATGTGATCTATTCATCATTGAAATATTAATTGATAAAAAAAGAAAACAATATAGAATACAGAATATTTTATAAAAATTACAGAATCATATTTGAAAATTTTCCTAAATAGGCAAAACGATACGTTATCTCATTATTTTATATACGCATATACGAAAGACAAAATAACAAATCTATATATACTTTCTTCATCTTTACCTAAGCATGCCTCCAGTAAATATTATCTAAATAAAAAGAAAACAAAAATCTCTTTTAATTATTCTTTTTATATCATTCATAATTGTTTAGTTCAAAGATGAAAAGCTATTAAAATTTTCTCATGATATAACAAAAATAAAACGAGAGAGACAGAGAGAAAATCTTTGATAGTAACTTGATTGAGAGATCATCTTTCTGTAGAAATTTTGATCGTTGGAAAATTTTATTTTTTCTTTATTTAAATTGTAGCTCGTTATCGACGTAAACTTCGTTCTAAACTTGATACTGTTAAAAGACAATTCAGTGATCAAAATTCATCATCATCGTCACTACGTCTTTTTAATACTTCACATGTATCAGTATTTGATGATATTGGTAATTTATTCAATTAACTTTAAAATTCACTAGAAATTTTATTTTTCTTTCAATTGATTTATTTTACTAGGTTCAGGAGTAAATCGTGCGTTATTAACCGCACAATTAGCACCAGCTTTAACAAAATCTTATCAACAAAAAATGCGTGAATGGGAATCAATGCAAAAAAGTCGTTTTCTTGGTTAGAAATTCTATTTGATTTTGCTTTTTTTTTCCTTACTAAACCAAAATGTGTTTTGTTTTTTTTTTTTGTAGTAAACTACCGTCGACAATCCATAGTACCTAAAATTGATTTCATTAATAATTCTCGAAAAGTTTCAATAGCACCAATAATAAAGAAAATATCGCAAGATCGAATAACTTTACCATCAACTATTGAAACTTGTTCATCATTAATTAATGAATTAAATCTTGAAACTCAAACAAATTCAATAATATTAAGTCCTATACTTTCACCTAATCAACGATCACTTATTTTACATCAATGGCGTGAAATTATGTTAGAAGAAATTTCACTTCGTCATTATAATGAATATCTTCAGAAAAAAATGAATTTATTAAAAGAACTTGAAACAAATTTAAAAACATTAAAAACAAATATTTTTTGTACTAATTATAATACAATTAAACAACAATCAAAAATAAATATTCAAGATTATGATGCATATAAAAAATCATATTTACCACAACGTTGTCGTTCATTACAATCATTAGTATCAATGCCTGCTTCATGGGTATTAGCTGTACAAAGTGCTGCTTATTCTGATGTATTAGATGGTACATCAAAGAAAACAAATGAACGAGCAATTTTATTTAATAAAGATTTCTTTGATCAACTTGAACAATTTAAAAAAGAACGATTTAAATTTGAACAAGATTCTGTAAAAGAATTACAATCATTAAATCCTTCATTGTGAGTAAAAGAAAAAAAAAGAATAAATTTTTTCTAATTATTAGAAATCATTTATTTTTAAAACTAAGAACAAAAAAAAAAGATCAAATAGAATTGATTTGTTTTATATTGATAACACTTTTTTTTCTTTTTTGAAACATATCAAGTGTTTTCTTGAATGAAAAGTTAATTATCTCGATATCAAACAAAAATAAACCTACATTCAATTAGATGGCCACCATGTCATATAAATATTCTTCATAGAAAAAAAGAACATAATATCAAAAATTCGTTGACAGCACAAAATATATTTTTGTCAGTAGACTCGTCTGTTGACAAAAATAAAACATTGTTTCTTTTCATGTCTTTATATTGATTGAAAATAATGATCCATATCATTATCAATTGTTGACAGTATATTATCAACCGTCGACAGCTTGACCTAAATATTATTTAAAACTAATTTTATTATTAGGACAAAAATATTTCGAAAACAAAAAAAGAAGTTTGTTTTTTTTTTTTTTAGTCAACAAAGACTTATCGGCTTTAATAGAATAATTAATAATGAAATTGTAATTCTTTTAAAAAAAAAACAGAATAACTCAAAAATTTTCTTTTCTACAAAATAATTTTTGATATTTTATTTCCTAAAATACCTCAATCATTCTTATCATCATACAGTAATTGAAATGATATGAAAATAATAGAAAAACAAACCACTAATTACTATTTTGTTTTCTTAGAACAAATCAAAACCCAATTACAAATACAATTCGCTCAACTAAACCTAGTGTTAAACTTATTCGTACATGTGGTTCTTTACGTAAATTATCTCTTGTATCATATTCACAATTTCCTCAATATTTTCTACCTGATCCTGTAGTACCATTACAAACAGTTATACAATCAAAAGAAGAATCAACATCAATAATAGAACCTATTTCAACAACAACAATAAATGAAATTGATTCAAATAATAAATTATCAACAGATAATTTTAATAAAGAATCCAAACGTTCACGTTTTCAGTTAAAAGAAACTTTTCAACGTAATAAAAGTATGTGTGTCAATCATTTTCAAACATGGTTTCAACGTCGTCAACATCCACATTCATGTAAAATAAGACGAAAATCAATTATAAAATCTAAAGATGAAACATCATGTTTAACACCAATATTTCATTCACCACGTTTATTTCGTCTTCATGAAAGAATATTTAAACATCAATCTCAACCTTTACAACAAATTGTTCATATTTCAAAACCATTAGAAACTCTTGATGATTCTGATAATCAATCTCAATATGAATTACCTGTTCGAATTTATTTTCCACCATTAACAACTCCGATACCTCGTCATGTACGTAATACTCATATTGATATAGTAAAATCAACAAATGATAATCATGATATGAATATTGAACAAACATTTAATCATTCAATAACACCAATTACAAATCGAAAAGATTCATTCTCATTTCAATTAACAACAGCTAAAAAACGACGAGAAAGTTTTGTGACATTATCGAACATTATTAATAGCCGATGTTTATAAATATTTAATCGAACAGAAAAGAAAAAAGAATTTTTATTTATATTAACACAAGCTTTATTTCTCATATTTGAATATAAGAAAAAGAAAAGAAAAAGAAGACTTTTTTTACAGCGAATTTTATTAGAATTAAATTTAAAATAATTTTTCTTAATTTTATCAACAATTTTTGCCTTTTATTTATTTCATGGATAATATTTTGTATTGTAAATATTCAAAATTAATGCACTGTTTTATGCATGAGATGCTAGAATTCTATTGAAATAGAAAGACACCGCCTGTTGCCTTTATATCATTAGACATACTTCAACATTGATTGACTTATTGAAGCCTCACTATCATTCTTGTGTATTTCTCTTCTTTTTCTTTCCTATTAATCTGTAAGAATCATGTATATTTAGCTTGCGTCTATGCACGTGTATTCTTATATCTATTTCATCAAGGCAAGAAAAGATGAGTGTCGAATAATATATGGAATAACACCAAAAACATAACTGTCATATTGTAGCTTCAGTCGTGCAGTACTCGAGGTAAATTATTTAGTATATGTAAAATGACAGAGTTTTGATATGCATGAAACCATAGACAAATATAACTAAAACAAGATATTTTATATAACATCTTATTTTCTATCCTAATCATCTATGACAACAGGAATCAAGCGAGAATCACGCACTTTTCTTATAACTTGGCAAGGTAAGTAAAAAATATCAGTGAAGAATAACATCAAAGTGTAAACTCAATTGAACCATATGCTTTTATTAAATTAGGCACATTAAAATCATTGAATCAGTCATAGATAAAATAAATATGTCCAAAACCAGAAAGTACTTTAGAATGCATTTCACGTAAATTCTTAAGGACATCCTATATCTGTCGATACTATTTTTCATTCTTTGTTACGCATCATATAGCTACGACTAGTATTTGTTTTATATTCTGAGGATAAAACTTTCCAGTTCATTAAACATATATTATGCTTACATATTCTAAGCACATTATGTTATGCAAACAAGAAGATTTGGATTAGTGTATGACATATATTAAATATTGCTTTTAAAATAAAGCTGAGTAAGTTTTGTTTTTCTTTTTATTGTATTATATTTCACTTGTCAATTTTCTTATGTACCATTTAAATGTAATCCAAGAGAAACACAGATCACGTATACGCATATAAGAGAAATTCATCGTGTCTAGCATTATCAATAAACTAATAGTTTTTTCCTTTTCGCTGTTCGGGTGTGTAATTGAATAAAAATAAATAAATTGTGTTGGTCATTGAATCACATCGATCTGTTCTAGCACTCAAAATCGACGAGACGATTACTGTTGTTCGTTCGATTTTTCTTTTTTCTTCTTTCCTGTCCGTAATATTATTGTCTTATATATGGTAATCATAGATCCTATATGAAATTTTCATTATCGGAAATTAACAGTTGATATTCGTATATAAGAATCTTTTTTTTTAAAGTCATTTTGACCTGTAATAAAAAGTCTTTACACGGAAATCAAATAATCTTTTTCTTCTTATTTGTATTCAAAAATATAGAGAATATGAGAAATCAATATTATTTATTTGATTGAAATATTTTGTATTTTCTTTTTTTTCTGCCGACGTATTACTCTCTGAAAGAAACGAATAATATAGGAAACAATTAGTTTTTGTATTATTATAACAATAAGGTAGTGGTAGATTTTTTTCCCTTTTACATTTATCATGGTTTTTTTCTTTCTTTCATTTGCTTATGTCCAAAATAATAAACAAATATAATGTTTAGAAAAAGAAAAAGATGTTCTATGTATTCTTTCATGTCTCTATATATCTTGAAGAGAAGAGTAACTGAGTAGAAGAAATTTTATATCTTGTTCGAGCAGATGCATGTAGAAAAAAAAATGCGAGAGTGATTTTCTTCTTTGTCTGTTATTCTCTTAGACGTTCTGTCTTAACTAATAAATGAGTATATACCAAAAGAAAATGAAGACTTGAGAAGTGTCAGTAAAAAGAAAATTTTTAACAATGTAAACATGAGGCCATTTTTCTATGCATCTGCAGTTATTAAAAAATTATTAGTACAAGACATTCCCGTCGAAATTAATCTCTATCTACAAGCGCTAACATCATGTTTGCATGTATATATAGATTTTCTTATTTAGGTGATATCTAATCACCATATTTTTCTTTTGTTTAAATATTTAACTCTTGTAAGCATGAATGAAAATTCTACACTAAAACTGAATGTCTATCAAATTAGCCTGGCTCACTTTATGCCATAGTTTTTATACTACTCTTTAGGTTCTATAAATACTACTGTCACTAGAAAAAAATAGTTATTATCATTTTCATCATTTCTTCGGAAACAAAAAAAAGAAATTTTTTTAATGTTATCTCCATAGAATTTTTCTCTTCTCCAAAAAAAAGAGAAGAAAAGAAAATCATACTTCACCCTTCGAATGTCAACATATGAAAAAAGAAGAAAATAATGTACCAACAATATTTTTAGTACGTAATATATATCTTTGTTTAATTATATGATAATAAAAGATTAGCACTAGAAAAATACTTTGTAGGAAAATTAAAAGAAAAGAATGAATAATTGTTTTATATCTGTGTAAAAAAATGTTTTTCCTTAGCTATTAATAGAATAACAATTAGAAATCTATTGTGTTTATTTTTCTACTTTGTGATAATTCAAATAGAAGAAAAACGTACATTTAATTTTTTAATATTCTTTAAATAACTTAAAGGAAATTCAATTTTTCAAAACGATACATTTGTAAGAAATTTTTTCAATTATCTAAAGAGACTTTGTTTTTTTTTCTACTGTATCTATTGCATATAAATATTGTTCGATAAGAGAAGAAGAGTTTGACGGAAATGCTGTGATGATCAGGTCAACACTAAGGTCATTTTCATTTTATCCATTCTACTCAAATATCAATCAGAAAAATTTTACTTCAATGATTTTTAATAAGAGAATTTCCCTTTTTTTTGTTATACGTTTCTATCTTTACATCGAAGAATGATACTCAGTAAATACATTTTGACTTGCTTACTAAACAACTTACAATTGTGTCTTAATAAAAATAAAAATAAAGCAAGAAACCAAAAAGAAACAAATAATACATCTGTCAACTGTATTGCTATTGTTTTATCTTATATGTACGTATCAAAACTATCAAATAGATATGTTTATTATTTTAGATTGATTTGTATTAATAGTTATCATTGCATATCATCTTACTTCGATGAATTGTACTGAAGGTAACAAAAAAACGAATGATTTTTATTATCAAACTAATAAACAAAAAAAAAACATTTTCAGATCCAAGTCGTATGATTGACATACATTTTCGTTCGCCTTTTGCCTTTTGGACATTAGGTGTAATTAGTGTTATACTATCCATATTATCAGATGCTGGTAATTTAATTAATTTATTTGTTCTTACTCGACGTCATATGCGATCAACAATGACAACACTTTTAGTTACACTTGCTTGGGCTGATCTTGTTCCACCTACTGTTGCTTCATTAAACAGCATACTATTTTATTATTTTTTACCACGTATGAATAATTCATCAACATTTTTAACTACACATATGATTGCACGAGCTATTTTTAATGGATTAGCAAATGTATTTACAACATTTAGTAATTGGCTTATTGTATTAATTACAACATTTCGATTAATTGTTGTGAAGGTAAAAAAAAAAAAAAATATGGCTGTGTTTTTTGTTAACTAGACTTTTTAACATAATGAAGATATTAATATTCAGAAGAGAACAAAGAGATCTATGGACAAACTCATTTCTGGTTAATCAATCAAAACCAGATATTAATTATAATATGTCATGAAATTAATAATAGATATATTTTAATGCCTATGACAGACTATGAAAAATATTTTTCTCTTATTTTCATACCCTACAAAAGAATCAGAGAATCAGATCTAATCAATTGTATTTCACAAAAAAAAAGTATTAATTATATATGCTAGTATTTGATTCATGAAATATGATTGAATGATTTTATTTATGTTTGAATAATTTATTGTTAAAATAAATAATAATCTATTTATAGTGCTAAGGAAAAAAAAAGACGAAGAATACATTTGAATACTCGCAAGTGAAACTAAGATCACGTCGCCTCCGGACACTAAATTATTGGTCTCGGCATACATGAAATCAGTTTACATGATAAGTGTAACATATTTATAAGAAAAAAAAACAGTAGAAACTCGATTGCTGATGTTGTATGAAGCCACTAGAAGCTTTTTTTTTGAAGTATACTGTTTGTTTCTCGCTAATTTGTATATAGGAGGTTATTTGAGAAACAATCTTTACTAGATAGATGGTTACTATGTTTTTTTTTTCTTATTCTAATAATATTGATGAAGAGAAAATTCTCAATAAATCATAATTGAAATGAACACTATCGAAAATTATAAGACAAATTAATAATAATATACATAGGAAATTATCAATGATCAGAACATACAGTCATTAGCATAGAAGAAAATGATTATTTAGCATATGATTTTTTTTTATTGCCCGAAGATAAATTATGAAAAGAAAAAGAGAACGTTTAAGAATACTATAAACAAATTATATGAATAAAAAAATTTTTATATTAATTATAGCAACCATTAGTGGCAAAAACTTATTGTAATCGACGTACTGCTCGTTATGCAATAGTAATTATTCTATTCTTATCAATATTTGTTAATATACCCTTATTTCTCTTTACAAGTATACGAGTTTATTGTACTAATAATGGTTTAATAAAATATTATAGCCTTGGAGGATCACCATTATTACGAACAAAATTTTTTTCTCGATTTTTTTTATCCAATAATGGTAACAATATCTTTACTTTTTCCATGGTTAATATGTTTTTTGATTTGGTTATTTTTAATACGTGCATTACATTCAGCACAAAGTCAATTAACAAAAAAAAATGTTAATACGACATTTCGTAATGATCGTAAGCAAGATACATATTTTCGTATAACATTAATGATTGTTTGTGTATTAACTGTTTATATGATATGTCGTAGTGCACATTTGCTTGAAGTTATACATTTACTAATAGCACCATTATTTAGTATTCAACAACAAATATATTTTAATAAAATACGCATTAAATTGTATTGTATATCAAATATAATGTTAACTATAAATCATGGTGCAAATTTTTATATTTATTCAATAAATCCAAAATTTCGTTTAACACTTAAATTATATTTAACGTATTATTTTCGTCGTTGTCGTATAAAACGTCGACGTGCATTTACGTTATTTCATTTACGTCGAAAAAAAACTAATGATAGTTTAGATGGTTTAAGTGCACAAAATGATTTTAATCGTTCAATTATGTTAACACCATCAAATCCTAATGAAGGCAATCAAAGATTTTCTATTAATCATAATCTTCTTACTACAAATGGAGGTGTTTATAAGCAAAATTGTACAATAAATAGTATAAGAACACCACAAAAATATTTAAGACAATTTTTGGATGCTAATTCAAATAATGAAAATTCTGAAAAAAGTTATGTTTGGAGAGAAATTGAACAAAGACTAAAATATCATAGAAGAAATCATTTTCAATAAGAAATTTTATTATTGAAATTTCTTTATTTTTTTTTCTTTTGCATAAATCTATATGTACATTATTCTTTGACATAAAAAAAAAAAAAATTTTATGTTTTTCTTTGTTATTATTTATATATCAGTCAAAATTATATTCTAAATAAAGATTATGTTTATTTTTGATTGATTTAAAATATATATTAAAATAATCAATATAGATTTATCGAATCTCGAAAACATTAATATACATGAAAAATTAGTTGTTCGAAGCCAATAGTAAATGATTATGTACATCAGCTTATCATTAATCTGATACAATAGTGAGATAGTAATTAGAAAATATTCTGTTCTTAAGAATTCATTTTTTTACATTTACATACACACTACTGCTTCATTAATCATGGAGCAACACTCCCTAATGGAAGTGAAAAAAAAACATCAAGATGAATTAATTAATCTGTACGATTCATAATTTGTGATCATATAGGATTATCGGTATAGAGAAAAAGTATTTCATAATTATATAAAACATGATCGAAACATTGAAATAATTCAATCTAATTTACAACAAATAATTTTGTTTATATAAAGAACTATAGGAAACTATGTGACTTCTTCGAACTTTATTCAGTTGATTATTATTTTCTAGAACAAAACTACAATCGAATTAATGTTAAATGATATGATATAGAAAACAACATTAGTATTAGAAATATCTTGTTAACTTAAGTTCGAAAAAAAGGTTAATATGTTATCAGATAACGAAAGTATTTTCATGACATTAACAAATATGATACTTGAAATAGGATATATTCAGATCCTTTTTTTTTGTTAAGATCAACATTGATATGTCGAAAACCTAATTGCTACATTTGTTAGGAAAATTTGTAAATTTTACAAGACAAATCTTAATCTATTTCACATGTAAAAGAATATAATTTTGATATAAGATTATAATGATTTTAGTTTATGTTCATAAATGAATTTATTAGTTAGCTAAAGCAATAGACATTATCGTCTTTCATCTAAGGAAGTAAAATAATAGAAGAAGAAGAAGCATGTCAATAATATCTCATGACTTTGATTCATTATTACATAGTACGATTTCAAATTAACAGCATAGGCATACACAAATTTCTGACCAATTTATTTTAATTATGTATGCACCGCAGGGTTATTACAAAATTACACGGAAAATGTTCTTGTTTGAACGATTCTTTCTCAAGAATCCCGAAAGACTTATAACATATATATATATATATATATATATCTGTTTTGTTTTTGACATTTTCTATCGTATCTTTTATTTAAACATGATTTTGTTAAAGTTTCCTACTATACTTAGAAGTAATAAATGTGAAACAAGAAATATTTATAGCAGCTAAACCTGTGTGAAACATATACATAATATCTCAAACACCTGCATTTGTAATTTAATATAAGACTCGTATTTGTATTAATTATATTTAATAGTACACTCTGAGATCCTTTTTTGCACTCGTATATGGTTTATGATTAAATAAGAGCTCCGACTTGTCTGTTTCGACATTTCAATATGGAATAATTAAAAAACCGATTGTTTTACATCTAGTTACTAAAAAAAACCAATAATTCAAAGATTTTAGAACTGTCAATCTAAAGAGTTCAAGGTCTAATATTAATAAATATTTTGCTTATTCTTTTATGATAACCTTGGTTATATGGACTAATTAGTTTTATATATAAGAAAAATAATACATATAGTTGATGTTGTTGTTTTTCTTTATATATGTTATTGATAAGAACTTGTTGTTGACAGCAATATAATAAGAGTAAAGAAGATTACTATCTATCATATCATAGGAAAAAAAAACAATTGTTATTTTACACTATCTTCTAATGATTAATTACTTCAGATTTTTTATGCGTGTGCTAAAGAATTTTTTTTTTATATAAATTATCTTTAACTTTTCCTCTACAAAAATAAATTGCACTTCTTACAGAAATAATTATTTTTAGTTTTATAATAATACACATTCGATGTAATTAAAAAAATGACTTAGTTTAACAAGTAAGACTATATCTTGTATACTCGTTCAGTGAATTTTCATGATGCACAATTTCTACTTGAATGAACAAATATGTTGAAGTTGAATACTTATTCTAAATAAACTTTTTTCTAATTAAAAATCCAGTAGTCATAGTTCAGAGAACCGCACTGAGAAAAAATGTCTTCTTAATTAGAATTTCCTGTTTTTTTTTTCTGACAACATGCCGGAATGACATCAAACCAATCGAGGGACTTAAAAAATAACATTTTGAACGAAGAAACGGACATTAAAATTAATGTTTTTTTTTTTCAATTCCATTGATTAAAATAGACATCATCAAACTGACAATTCATTGTTCCGGAAACAAGCAGATTTTCACCGGAACCTATTGGCAAGATGCGGAGAACTCATTGTATATGGAAAGCCAAATTCCAGATATCGATGGAAGTTGTATGTAATACTCCGGAGTGGGTTGTCACCAGATTTTTCTAGGGACATATGACCTTTTTTTATCAGAAAAAAACAAACCAAATCTTCTAATGGAAGTTATCGAGATAATCCGAATACATTCCAGTGCGAAATACTGCGTTCAAGTTCTGTCGATTTCTACAGTGAATCATCAAAAACTGAACTACACAAATCCTTTTAAAAAAGAATTAAAATACATCTTGTTCTCACGAATAATCAACCGATTAAGAAAAATCATTCAATGTATGCCTTTAAAAAGATAACTAACATTTCTATAAAATATTAAATCTCATTAAATTGACACAAATTCTCAAAGTTCATATGGATTAGTATGATTATAAAGAGAAAAGCCACTAATTTAGATTCGAATAGGGACCATTCACAAAAGACATTTAGGTAAAAGTCGCACTTTTTGATTCTTCTCTTCCTCTCCTCGGTCCAGTTTCATTGATTCACTTGTCCATCTAGACATCTGATATAAAAGTAATGACTTTCTAGAAAGGACCTGCTTATTCAAACGTATTGCTTCCTTTTATTAAAATAATATATATCAAAAATAGAAATGAATAAACACATACTTCTTAAACGATGAAGTTTTTGTTTTTCAAAATACTTTGTATTTTAATGAATCGAAAATAGTAAAAACAAAAAATGAAATTCAATACAAATGGTACTCAAAAATCTAACAACGTTCATACTATTGCTCGAGAAAAGAACAACTTGCTCATGTAGCATAACCTTCAATTATGTCAACACCATGTTCATATTTAACTGATTTTTCTCTTTAAAAGTCCTCTTCAAAACAAACTAAACTTCAAAATTCTCTTTCCTTCGGTCCACTTTTGACGCATCCTTCTCTCCTCTTTACCTGAACGTTCTTTACGGACGTTCCTATATAATGTCAAAAAATTAGAAATAAACTTCTGACGTTGTTTTAAGTGGAACTAAAGAGTAGTAACAAGAAATCTATTTAGAAAAAAAAGGAAATGTCTACTTCTCATAATGAGCGTCGGTTTCTTTGTTAGTTATACAAAGATACAATATACTTGCATTTTTATTATGATACTCATTATAACAAGCTGCTTTCCAAAAAAAAGAAAAAAGAAGAGCGGAAATCAGCAATTGAAAGTGCACTAGAAGGTCAGTTGAAATTTGAGATTTTTCAAGCAGTCTGAAGTTCTCTTGCGTAAAAAAAAATATTGTTCAACCTTGTTTTTCAATTATTTTCCATAATACATCAGAAAAATGTTTTACTTGATCGACTCATTGTCTGTAAAACACAGCTTTATCCTTGAAGCATAAAAATAGGCTAATTAGGCACAATGCTAAATGTGATTGTTGTGAATAAATTAACTCTATCAATGTGTAAGATTATTGGATGTTTTTGTGGTTTCAAGAATAAAATTTCATTATTTATCGCTTGTAGCTGAGTATTTGAAATCCGAATATCTATGATTGAATCTCCTCGATTAATATTGAACTCATCTTAAAATCAATTTAATTTGTTTTTTTTTCTATTATGAATTTATATCGAATTGATATGCAAAAAAAAGAAAACTTTAAATAAAAATGTCAATTAAATATCAATTATGTGATTTGATTCGAAGGAAATAAAACGTATATATGTGATCATAATTCATCAACTCGACAGACTATGATTAAAATATCATCTCGACCATCAATAATATATCCTAAAAATAAAACTATATATTTTTTGATTAATTAGAAAACTATTTAAACATACCATCAACTGCTTGTTTAAGAAGATCATCAGCTAAATTTTGAAGATGCTATAAAAAAAATCTTTTATATATCATATATAAAAATTTTTCATATAAATATAATTACTTTATTTTTGTTACGTTCAACAACTTTTTGTAATTGATCAGATTCAATTACATCCCATAAACCATCAGAAGATAATATAATAATATCACCTTTTCGAACTTTAATATTATCTAATGAACAATCTTGTAGAAATTTACTAGACGATAATATGAGAAACAAAAAAGAAATAATAGAAATTTTATTTTTGTGGAATTCATATATATTTTCGAAGAAAATAGTGAGTGTATATTTTGCTGCCGATAGACACTAGCAACTTGGAGTGAGAGAGGACAAGTCAAAGATCAATGGATAAGTTTTCCTAGTAGTCGAGTGAGACGAAGAGGTTACCAATCATTTGGTATGTTTTACTAGCAACGGAAAAAAGGAATATCGGCAATAATCGTACTTAGATCATTTTGGAACTTTCTAGAATTCTCCAAAATATGCTATGAATCTAAAATTTCTACTGTAGATTGCAACTATATAGTGTAAATATTTCAGGATTTGATATCTAATGCAGCAAAAGAATTTTATTGTAGGCGTTAATCAGTAGGGCGGTGGTATTATTGATCTAGCAGAGTCCAGAATAGGATCGGCATAGAAAAGTATGAACTAATTAAATTCGAAGTTTAGGCAAAATTCAATAGTATATGTCAAAATTTATCAAGAGAAACGATGGTGTACTCGGAAACTTAATGAACGATTAAATTAATCTGTGTAGCAGACTAATATGATGATTGAAACGAAGAATAAAATGATATTTGCTGCTTTCTATGGCATGCACCATATATATTATCATTATGAGACAATAAGTTATATATTGAAGATGTATCTGACAATATAAATAAATTTTTTTGGCATAATGATGTTAAATGAATTTCATAAATTAATAGAATAGTAATTCTAAATGGAAACATTTTCGAAATGATAAAATTTCAGACCGTGTGTATCAATTATAAAAATTGTTATGATTTTGATTTATTCATTTATTTGGAATTTTTTTTTTCAATAAATTATTTTAACCCTCTGATAATATACCATAAACTTATAATAGTCAGAGTTTATGAGTTCAAGATTTTAGCTTTTCATAGAGACTGTACTAATAACTTTTTACTTACGTTTCATGCATAGAATAAGATAAACCAATTGAATCATTAAGAACAAATAATTGTCTCGGCCCACAACCATTTGAACTCATTGTACATGTTGATCGACAATATATTTCATTATTACGATAAATAACAAATCCACTATCACCAATATTTAATGATGTTAATGTATGTTCTTGTTTATCCAATGCAAGTAAACATAATGTACTACTGCCTGAAAAATTCATTAGTTTTTTTTTGTTCTTATAAATAAAAATAATTTATTTCAAAAATCTCTACCTTGAACTTCACTTGCTTCAACTTGTTGCATGGCTGATTTAATTAATCGTGGTAATTGATTAGGTTTGAAATTATTTCGATGAAGAATTTTTTCACAAGCAGCTAAAATAGCTCGAGAAAAATCCGCTGGATTTATTCCATATGAACGATTACCACCAGCACCATCAGCTAGACCTTTACAAACAATAATTAAATATTAAAATTTATTCTATTTTCTTTTTTTTATAATATAATTTAAATTTACCAACAAAACAAAAATTTCGATTTTCAACAATCATTCCAGCATCATCACCAAAATCTCCATTATTTAAATTTAAATTTGATAATGGTAATTGTCCTCGTAAAGATTTTGATGCACCATTAACAGCAATACGTAAACATAAGTGTTTTTCAATTTTTGCCGGATAGATTCCTTTATGAATAATTTGTCCTGTAGATACTTTGTAAGTAGACAATTTACGTTCATTAGATATTTCTGTATTTTTATTAGTAAATTTTGTATTTATATGATCAATAAATGCAGCTACACGTTTATTATATTGTTTGTTCGATAACCAAGTTTCATCATAGATTATTGTTGGTTCGATTCGAGCTGATGATGAGTTTTGATTTAGATGATTAAGTGTAGGTACTGATGAATAATTATGATTTGTCTTTTCTTCGCTATATTTACGAAAATTTGAATAATGACCAATTTTATGTGTTGAACTAGAAGAAATTAATTTGCAATTTTAATCATGAATTATCGAAAAATAATTTGACAAAATAATCGTTCATCTTTTTTCACTCTCTTAAGAGAGGTTGCAGAAATTTGTGTTATTTCAAAGTATGACTTCAAAATTTTTATAAAATTTCTAATTGAAGAATTATGAAGCGACGTTTTTGAGGCTCGTAAATTGAGTTTGAGCGAGCTTCAGTGCGTTAAGACTTATTCAAAGTAGAACTAAAAGTTATTTCAAATATAGTGAATGAAAGAACAAACATTTCTCTATAAAATGGTATACTAATGAATAGTTTGCTTCAAGTCATTTATCAACAGGGAGTATTTTGATAAGAAACACCGTGTCAATTGTCTCGATTTCTATGGAAAACAGACTTGCAAAGTGAGCTCGATGATTTCTGAACGATTGTTCTGAAACTCTTGATTTCTATGTCACTTTGTAGAGAACAATCTTGCATTTAATTCTATGCAAAAAAAAACCCGGTAATATAATGCATGTAGTAGAGGAGCTTATAAAAAAAAATATCAATTCTCTCGATCAAAATTTCATTCTTGCGTCTCTAAAAGATCAACTCATTCTTAAGTCAAAAGTCCTTAAGAAATGTTGAATCTATATTCAGAAACAACACAAGATTTTGATTTAGATTCAATATTTTCAAATTTCTACCGAGATTATCATTATTAGTTGATATAAGCTCTGAGAAAAACTGAAAATTTTATTTTATCTGTAACCGAAAAATATTTTACAAACAATCTTGTTCGTATATAATTAAGTATCAGATTTATAGAAAATGAGTTTAGTGGTTTTGTTTTCTTAATTATCTATATTCGAATGGAAAAGATAAAATTTTTATTTGAATTGAGATCAAGAAAAACTAGATGCTAACAAATCATTGTAGATATCAGGAACTTTCAACTTACAGTTTTCCATTATTTTTTGTTGAATCGTATATGTTACTATTCCTGATACTTGTTTTGTTTCTATTAGTTACATTTGTTGCCAGAACTTCGTTCGGTTTTTTATTATTAATCAATTTTGATAAACGATTTTGATCAATAAGAAATTGTTCTACATCTATAAATGTTGCCTCATTATTATTCATTTTAATTGGTCGTCCTTTTCCATAATCAACATAAACATCATAATCATTAGCAAATTGTGAAAATTTGGGTGAAATTAAACTTTTTATTCGAGCCATAGAGCATAATATTTGATCATAAAAGAAAAAGTTGACCTCATTGTCCTTGTTCTCTCACTCGCTTTTTTTTCTTTCGCTTACCTGATCAAGGATTGAACGAGTATGTAATCGATCAAAATAAATGAGTTTTTTGCGGTTCATCGAACAAGCTTGTAGATTCTAACATAGATACAGGTTTACATCATAACCATCATCATTGTTTCAATTGATGAATAACAATCGAAAGAAAAATAATTAAAATTACTGATGAGAAAAAAAAAACGTATTTCAGCCTATACTTTAGTAACTATATATATATATGTATATTCAAATAATTTGCTTCAATCTAATCTTTATGTCGATTGTAGAATTTTCAGATCACAATGAAAATTCAAAGGACGTAGAACGTCATTTAAAAAAGGGTAATACTTTTCTATACTACTTGTATTAGATTTTCATGCTTTTACTACAACATTTGCTGGGACGACTCATTTTCTTTGCACTATTTCGTCGAATTCATTTCCTTTTCTTGAAGAATAAGTAAAAGCTTGTTGTAACAACAAAGAGTGTTGTCGTTTAACAACTGCCTTTATTTTAATTCATCGCACTTCATTTTATAAGTTCGGTCTTCTATCGAGAGAACGTACCCATCAACAGAAGAAAGAGTGAGACTTGCATATACATCTGCATGCATGCATGGAGGCAAGCGCATACACTGAGAAGATAGATGAGTTTAAGTGTGAAGAAGAAGAAGAAGATGATAATCTAGAGTATACAATATGTGATTAGTTAATGACTTGTATAGAAGACTAAGAATAGCGAAGAGAGAGAAGATAGAACACATACATGTTGGTTGATGGAGAGGATATATCATTATTGGCACACTTGTCTAATAATCTACCATCAGTTGATTTAACAAGGTGTACTGTAGAACGGTGGGTTATATTATTCTGCTTTTTAACAGCCACGTCTTTTGTTCTTTCACCAGTAAAAGAAAATATCCTTAAAGAGACATATTCTTGCTGAAATACAAAATAATCGCTATTTAAAATTTTATGAGAAAAATAGTTTGATATCAAAGACTTTTTACTTTTGATCTAATTTGAAGCATCTAAAATATATAGGCATATTGCATTATGAAAATTACATTTGGAGCTCAAATTAAAGTTTAACTACCATTTATGCTGCAAACTCTTCTGTTCAACTGAGTTCGAGTAATCAGTTTGTTGTGTCATTATGATGAAATTCTGTTTTCTTTCATGAAAGTACATATCAGTGATTTACTTGTTTTAAACGTATCCCAATTTAATTCTCTTGCTTTTTGAATTGCATAAAATTCTAAGTCAGCATCATGAGCTGCTTCTTTTTCAATTCATCCTTTTACATAAAATTGGTAAAAACACAAATTTTTTAATGTTTTGAAATTTTCCAAGTCTGGTGCTGTTGTTTTTTGATATATTCTTTAAAATTTTAAAGATAAGTCATGAATTTGACTTTTCAAAAGTTATGTGAAATAGTTGTAAACTGAACATTTGGATGTTCATTGGTTTATGATACTGTTACTCAAGATAAGTACCTTGATATGCTTTAGAATTACATTCGTCTGATTTTACAAAAGAAATGGTTGAGTAAGTCTATCATTTTCCAAAAAAGATAGAGCACCAGCGCATTTCTCAAGAGTGATTCGCGCCTAGCTGAATAAAATATTTGATGTGGGTGTGGGTGTGGGTATACTCTGTAGTAGAGAACTTTATTTTTTCACTTATAACCGAAATCTAAAATAGCAGTTCGTGATATACGTTCAAATTGATTACTATTTCATCAATGACATTTTTTTGCCATATTATTTTTAAAAAAATCACGTGCCATGTATAAATAATAGTCACATGCACTAACCAGAGTTAGAGTTAGTAGGATTTTTCCTTACTGATGCCGGGATCAGACCAAATCGTATCGGTCTGTATATCAGCATGAGTCATTCTTCGCTTTTCTGACTCTATAGCAGTCAAATCAATCTTTGGCTTAGTCATATCCTCCTAATCACCACAGCTAATGTTAAAAAGTACTTTTTCATAACTATAGTGGTTTTCACTTTTTATTTTCATATATTTTTCTTTCTTGGCATCTATTAGTAAACAGAATACTTCAAAGGACTACAAATTCTATATTAATTTTGTGCTTTAAATAACTATAGGGTGTCCAATAAGGTACGAAACAAGAAAAAGAAAATCGAATATCTTCGCCATATTTTGACCAAATAGACTGACATTTTTACTACTGATAGAGGAGTTTTCATAGATCATATTCGTCAGTGAAGCGTTGTGAAAAACTGCTTTGAAGTATCACAACTGACTTCAACAAAGAACTGTAGCTTTCCACGAGTTATGAAAAACGAACGTTACAGTTTTCTCAACAAATTTTTTGCTATTTACAGCTGAAACTTTCAGCATACACTGAATAACAAGATATATAGTTGTGAAATAAATAATAGCCCAAACGACGCTAGTGAGAGGAATTAATCGAAAAAATTAGGGAATGAATATATTGTTTTTTCATAGTCGGTGACATGTTATAATTCCTTGCTGAAGCTAGTTGTAATACTTCAAGACAGTTTTAGACAACGCTTCACTTATGAATATGATCTATGAACACTCCTCTATCCATAGTAAAAATATCAGCCCATTTGATCAATATATGGCGGAGATATTCGATTTTCTTTTTCTTATTTCGTAACTTACTGGACACCCTACACATTAATTAATAGCTATTATAGTTAAGGAGTATCATGTAATTATTCATGGTTGTTCAATTTTGTCAATAAGATATTAGATGTTATCAATAGAAGTCTGTGTTTGAAACATAAATGTCAACCATATTGTAGTACTCGCCATCCCCGAGATATCAGAAGTCAACATTTGAATGAAGTGTCATCGCTATCAAATCTATCATTTATGTTGACGACATGGCATTGTCTGTAGATACATACAAGTCTCGTCTGATGTTTTAGCAAAATGCTAAAGATATCGGTCAACTTTTTAATGAATGCTTTAGGAATTTTTATTTCCTGTCAAATGCTGAGTGTCTTGCATTGCATAATTTAAACGAATTAATTATATGATATCTATCATCTCATAAATTTATATAAAGAAATCAAGTATAAATACCTAGGGCATATCAAAAGTAGTGGCAGTGATACTTTAATTCCTTATAAAAATCTTAAGAGGGCTCCTCTCCCCTAGAAAATCAAATTTTTCAAAAAACATCGAAGTTAAGTTTTTATCATAGGAAGATGCAGCGAAGCTTTCTCTTTCAGACTACGTATAGCTTTTTTGGAAAATGACCAGATTTTTAATAATTTATCACATGAAACTTTGACTCTACTACCATATTTTCGGAGAAATTTTCGTGGTTTTTAAAGTTTTTCAGTTTTGGAAAACTACGTTGCCACTTGCATTATCATTGAATAGAACATTTTTATATTAACCAGTATATCAGATGGCGTTAGCTACCTTCATCTATTACGTACTTTAGAACAGTCTGCTGGAATATTTAAAAAAGATACCATTGTCATATGATTTGCTCTGGATTTGAATGAAAAAGTCGATTTCTAAAACTTCTTCAGCGTTTTTCTCAAAACACGATTTCTAGGCAGGAAAATTGAAATAACTTTCACTCAGATCGGGGTATAATTAATGTTTTTTTTTTGTTTTAAAGGTCTTGTTTAAAATAATTCTTGTAAAACAAATATGTATATATATACAATTTATACAAATATTCGTATACTTTGCAAATTAAACCAAGATTTTTTTTTCCATTAATCTAAATGAAAGAATCTATTAGCAGTAAACTCTATAAACTACTTTAGAATTTATTAAAAACAAGCAAATCAGTTCAATTCCCCAATCAACCTCGTTTCAAGCTAGTATAATTTCGTGAACAAATTAAACAAAAACTACATCATTTCTGTCGGAAAAAATTGATGAAAATAGCATTGAAAATGTCTTATATCAAATACATTTGTTCGATAAGCAATATATCCATCAGGCCGAATAAGAATAGCACCTTCAAGTTTCAATGGAATCTTTTCTTCATAACTGTCATGTATTTTTATCATTTTCGAATATTCTTTCTTGATGAATTCAACAAATTGATTTACTTTTATTAATTGTTGTCTTTCAAATATAACAAAATGATAATGACATGGATCAAAAATAACATAAGGAAAACGATCACCAGGTTGTGGTGTATTTTGATGAAAATTTCCTGCTGATGCACCATAATCATAAACATTTAATGAACGATAAGTAATACCTAATTGAGACAGTCCAAGAAATACTGCTTGTCGAAATTTTCTTAAATAGATAAATAATGGTTGTACAATAAATTGAAACAGAATTGGTGCAATAAATAAACGAACAAATCGTGTAGCCCAATAAGTACTTGACAGAAAAGCAAAAGCTCGATCAGTTGTATTAACTAATGTTTTTGCAATAGTTGAACGTTCATCATGATATGTATCAAGAAGACAATCTCGAGCTGAATATGTTAATACATAGGCTAATTTCCAAGCAAGATTATGTGCATCTTGCAGACCTGTATTCATTCCTTGACCACCAACAGGTGAATGAATATGAGCAGCATCACCAAGTAAAAAATATCGATTTCGATATCGAAATTTTGTTATATGACGATGATGAGAACGATAAACAGAGATCCAACTACAATCATGTACATTCATATTGAAATGTTTACTTCGTTGTTTTAATAAATGTGCAGCTTCATCGATAGATATTGTTTCATCAGTTTCATTTTGTTCATGAATTGTACCAAAAAGACGATATCGATTATTAGTCATTGGCAATAAACCTGATAAACCAGAAGATGCCAGAAAAACTCCAGCTTGATCTGTACCAAGAGGTGCATTATCAACTTGACAATCAGCAACAAAAAGTGATTCTGAATATGTTCGACCATGAAATGGTAAATTTAATTTATGTCGAACAATACTTCGTGCACCATCA